ATTTTTCTTCTTTTGACAGAAGCTTAAAATTTATTTTCACAATGAAATTTCATTATATTTTGGGATTAAAGATTGACCGATAAAACAAGTATTTGACCTACCAGTATTTAGTTTTAATGATAGACGTGTTTCAATTAATTCAATTTGATTTGGTTGGATTTAGTGAATGACGTACGCTCTGCCAGAATTCATGGTAAATTGATTCAAAAAAAGTTACTTTCCTGTCACGCTTCAAGCTCGCTTAAGGAAACGAATTCAAATGAAGCACACAAGAAATCTGCATTATGGATATCTTGTTCCTTTGATATTTTATTACAGCTTATTTTATTATTTATTTAATATTTTATTCTGCAACAAGATTTGAATGTTCTTTACTTTGTTTTATACTTAATTTTATTAAATAAACTAACAAATATTTGTGTTCCCAATATTTGATAGCACACGAATGTCTTGCAAACAAAATAGAAAGATTGTGGGCCATACAACACGTCATAGTATTTCAGCAACAAAATAAGCAGTTAACTAAAAAAAAAGAAGTTATATGATTTATATAATGCTAATTGACTATGAAAAAATCTTTAGTGAAAAATTGAATTATTCTTAATGCACAACAAATTGAATATTCTTATAACAGCAGCATTTTTATTTATTAATTGAAATGCTATCGAAGTCTAAATTCACATTACTTAAAGCAATATTATTGTTCAAAAATAGTGTCGATATCGATATAACAGAACTATGCTCAAATACTCTTAATATATAATTTATCGGCATTCAGCGAGTGTAAAATTCTAACCTGGTCCTAATATTTTACTTTTTTTAAAATTTCATTTTTAGCGAAAATAAATATTATACCTAATTAGATTAAAAAATAATTTCGGTAGAGTATTTAATTTTTAAATAAATTGTTGACTAATCACCTATTTTTCTCCTTTATTGTGTTTTGCTTTGTTATGTTGCTTAATATCATGCTCTCTCAAAAAAACACGACTACATATTTTACAATAGAATGCTAATTTTGTTGGAAACATAGCATCATTCATTTTGCATCTTGTACATTTCATTAATTCATATTTGCATTTTGTGCAAATATATTAATTTTCATCACTAGCAATTACATGTATATTTTGCTCAAAAAAGATACGAAGTAATTTTAAAAAACTGTCGATTTGGTTATTCGAATATTCTTGCATCATTGAATCTATGTAACCTAAAATTAACATGATTTAAAGAGTTTTAGACAATATTAAGACTTATTTTAAAAGTTGCAAGTATTGCAATTAAACTGAATTCAATTGAAATAATCTATAAGAAGCAATGTTAATTATCACACTATCTACAATGTAGTCAGTTAATTAAATTTACCAATGCAATGATTTTTAATTTGTGAATTGTAAATATATTGTATTTTTATACTAGGTTAGTAATATGTTTTTTATATATTGAATAAAAATTTTATCAATTGATTATAAAATGGTTCAGAAGAATTAAGCTACATGTTTAATATCTGCAACAAACAACATTAAATTTAGGGAATTGCTATTTCCCCTTTTTTGCTAATGCCACCCCAGATCTCACAAAGTGCTCTGAAATAGATATTCTTATTACAGGTTTCGCATACCAATTTCGTACAACCCTATCAAGAACGGACCTACTTTTAAATATTTATTATTTGATATTTATTACTTGGGGTGGGTACGTTATTGATAGGGGTGTACGAAATTGGTATGCGAAACCTGTAAATAAACCTTTCTTGTGATCTTAATAAAAGTTGTTTATCAGGCCTTTTCAGTTCTAATGGTAGTAAACTCATTATATACTCGAACCAGTATATTTATATCCAAAGTTAGCTAACTTTTATTTACTTTTAAATAAAAACTATTAGTCCGACTTTAATGATTTTATGACCATTAGAACCAGAAAGTCCTGATGAACAATTTTTATTAAGACCAAAAAGAGGTTTTCTTAATAACAATACCTCTTCCAGAGTACTTTTTAACTTTTGGGGTGGCATTAGCAAAAATGGGGGTGGAAATAGCAATTCCCTAAATTTATACTTTAAATTCCTTTAGAAGCTTGCCTTTCAACTAGATAGTAAGAATTGAGTTAAAAACCCCAACAAAGTAAGACTAATTAGCTATTAGAGATTAGTTTAGATTTCACGATTATAGAAATTCTCAAGAAAAGCTTTGATTTGCACGTAGATAATTGAAGAAAAACTTATTCAAAATTTTTGATGAAAAGAATTTGCTGAGATAGTAACTTTTTTACGTCACCTAGAGCTCTAATTGACCCTAGTTACTCGCACAGCCTACCTAAAAATTGAGTGATTTCATTTTTGTTGATCTGCTATTAGAGATTTAATTTTTTCTATATAATTTCTTTATTGCATTGTAACAAAGATGAATAGATTATCAATAGAATTCAATTTTAAAAATTGATTTTTGAATCTTAATTTTCTTTTTCATCAATTGAAGTAATATAATGCAAACTCGTTGAAGTCTTTTAATATTTATTTAAATATATAAAAAATTTACTATCAACAAATGCCTAACTCTTCTAAATCACTACGAAAAAAACTTCCATCACTTATGTTGGAAGGAATCTTTGAAAATTTAGTAAATGATATCCAAATGCTTCGTTCTTGCACACAAGTTAATTCCGAATAGCTTTGTGAAGCATCTCCTATATTGTGGTGCGATCATTTTTCACATAAAGCAAATACACACCTTGCTATCGGATCTTACATACAAGAAATGTCTCTTAATGAAAAACAATTCATCAAAAAGTTTTTTAACATTTCAAGATTTGAATATAAATCATTATTACCATACGCCTCATTTTTACGATTTATCAATATAAATAATTTCATGGATGCTGTGATCAATTTTTGGCAAAAATTCTGTAAAAGTTCTCAAAATTGTATGAGAAA